TTAAAATTAGAAACATTACACATTCGAGCTGCTAATCAGATATTAGCAATTTTGAAAGAATAAAATTTTATAACTATTGTGATATTTTCATCTAAATTTTCTTTAAAGGCTATTTAATTTATAATTTGAATTACTAAATATTAATATAACTTTTATTAATTTTAAATAAATTCACTTTGAGAATCTTTTCTTCTCTATTACTCTGCTCTGTTTGAATCCGCCTGATTCCAGACAATCTATAAGAGATCTAGAGTGGTGTATGTGCATGAATGGTCAAATACTATCTACACCGCAATACATTTGTATGCGGTACACATGCGCAATACATTGTCGCATGTGTATTTTTTTTTATTTCTGATGATTCTTTTATGGTGTTGCAATTTTTACACAAACTAGTTTATTTATCATTTATACACAGTCCAGTCACATTAATGTGCCCACCACATACTTTCGACGTCAACGTGAAATAACCAATCACAAAAGGCAGGTTCCAGCACATTGCAGTAGTGTTTATATAAAGAATTTCACTTAATACCACTTAAATACCACTTAATACCACTTTCCACACTCAACTTAAAGTCAGGATATACAAAAGTGTATATTCTGGCTTTTGACAGCTGCTCACATTAAGGTGACTGGACTGTGTATTATAAATTCTAGTTTTTATTTTTGTCTTTTAAAGTAATATAGTTATTACAGTCTCGAGAGTTTCTATAAGCATCATAACTATTCCTCTTAACCATCACCATTTTTTGGTTAATATTTATTTCTTCTATTACTATAGCAATAAAGGATTTACTGTAATATACTTTTTTCAGTAATGTGCTTCGTAACTTAACTATCTTACAGTTAGAAATAAAATTAAAAAAACGCCCCTAACATGTTTTTCCCTGGAACAAATCAGATAAAGACAGCAAGAGCTATTGCAACAATTTTTCAAACCCGTTTTTCACTTTTTTTTGTAGCCTTGAGATAGAACTTCCAGGATATCGCTTCCGTTTACTTCTTCAATTTCAGTAATGAACGAAAAGTTACGAGAATTTTACAAAGGAAAAATTCATACTCTTTTGAAAAAATGGGGTCTACATCGTCGAAAACTCCACGTTCGTTCTGAAGGAGAGCAATTACTTACAAATACAGTCAACTGTGAAAGTTAAAGTGGATTTCGTACATTTCTTTTTTATATTACTGTGAAATGGAAAAAAGGGTTTTATTGACCAAAGCACTCCACTCGACAATCGAAATGAGGAGGTAGTTCTCGGGAAAAAGTGAAGATGTTCCACTGGATTGCTTTATTGGATGTACCTCGCAGACGATACGCACTTAAAAATTTAGTTCTAAACTGAGTGTTTTTCAGAACTTTGTTTCTGCGTTGGCGATTTAATAGATTTTAAGATACTTTCAAATAAATAGATTTTTAACAATATATTTATAAAAATTAAAATTAGCATTTAATGCTCTGATTTTCAAACTTTTTGAAGTCGGGGCGAAGTATTTAAAAACTTTTTGAAGTATTTAAAAACCTATAAAAAAGTTGTAGGTGCACTGTATATAAGTTTCTGATCAAAAAGCAACCGTTATTAAAGCTTCAAACTTTTGTTTCAGGTTATCAATTCCATAGACAACTATTTACAGACGGCGAAGTCAGAGGATGCAATGGAAATTTTTTAACGTTGAAGATTACATAGACGCTAGCGCATTGACTAATTAGCCATGGATACTGAGATCCAACGTTGGCTACGTTAAGATCTATCTACAGAGGTCCATGAATAAGTTATCCTACCTAGTTTCTCGGAAACTTTCTTTGACGCATTGCTCCTGTTTGGTGACTTTTTATGAGAAGAAAGAAATATAGCAACCAGTAAGATTAATTGCTTATAAAAAAAGAAGTATATGCATGGAAAAACTCACAAGAAAAAGTGTAACTATATTTATTTTTATATCTGGGGACACATTTCTCTGAAATACCACAAGGCACACATTAGGGTGCGGAACACTTCCGGAACACATTTAGGGTATACCACTGCGCCCTGGGACACACTCAGTTATTAATTAAACAAAACTATTTTAAAGTGAAAAATAAATTAAAAATTGGAAACTGAAAATAAGATTTTTCAAGAAATGAAAATTCTTTGATATTCTGTAATTTTATTTTTAAAACTGCTGTTATGTTTTTGTCTTTACATTTAATAACAAATTTTATGATTAACCTGTATAACGGTCCAGTCGATTATAATTTTTCCTGCTATATAACTATTTTTCTTTTTTATGTATTATATCAGTGGTTTCCAAAGTGATGTAGGTACTGACCAACGGGAGGTACATGAAAATAATTACGGAAAATCCCAAGAAGTCGACCAATTAATTAGTTGAACATTGATTGATTTACACATTATTCACTTGTCGAATTAAGAATAAAATAGAATTGCCATCTTGATTACCAGCTAGAAAACTTGAAATTTGTCACTTGTCAATTGCGACATTAGAGAGTTTTTGCATACTGTACTTTAAAAATACGGTATTTCCCTATTTACGGTATTCTCCCTAGCACGCATGCTCATAGGAAATTGCGCATGCGTATCTGTAATAATTTTTCCTATGAGCATGCGCGCTAGAGAGAAAAAATACCGTTTTTATTAAATACGGTATGTAAAAACTCTCTATTATCCTCGGCTGTTGGAAGAAATTCGTTTGAAAGCGTGTTCGTTCCTCGGCGTGTCACTTCCGACCCTACATTCCTATGCAATAAATATATTTTAATAAGTTCATATTTTAATAAGCTTTAATAAGACCTTCAAATTTTTTCCGTGACAATTGAATCATCTGGTATATTTAATGAAAAATACTAACTGATTCAAGTCAACATAGCTTAAAATATGCCAAATTTTCCTCGTTCAATAATTTTGTAGTTTTCAAATTAACTAAATATTTACAAAGTTAATATATTCCCTTTCTGCCAGTACGTAGACGGCCTTGGACCACCATGAACTTGTTTCTCCATTGAAAAAGAAAAAGAATATAGTAAATTATTTTGGGTTACAACCAAATTTTTAAACATTAAAAAAAAGTTTCTAAAGAACACTTATTCTTATTTGTAATTTTCAGTTAGTAACCAATTATTAAATTAGTTCTTATGGTGTCATGTAAAGTTGTTTTACGACATATTTCACAAGGCAGTTATTTCAAATGAAAGTTAAATGCATTTTTATTTTATGTAGAATAATATTTTATGAATTAGGATTTTTTGTTGTCATTTAAATATTTTTATGTTTTTTAAATAGTGTATATATATTAATTAACGAAAAAAATATCTTTCTTAAGAAAGTAACTTACATTTTTCTAATTTGAATATCGATTTCAGCTTTACTGAAGTAATTCGACGAATCGTAACAGATCTCAAAATAATGCTCTACTAAAATATTTTAACTGCAGTGTGTTTTGCATAAAATCGAATATTTATATTTTGCTATAAAGTGTTTTGGAAAGAAATATTTTTCCAGCCACAATAATTCTAACCACATATAATTTCTCGATAAATTTCTTTTTTAACAGAGTTACACCAAATAAACAGATTTTTTTTCAAATAATTAATTACAAAAATTTAAGATAATTGCTCTACAAACTGATGTAAAGTCGTAACCGGTTTTGAATATGCAAAAAAGTCAAGAAAATGTTTTAATATTTTTTAAAATTTATAGCAAAAACTAAATAAAAAAACTGCTGTATCTTCATATGAATACAAAATGCAAGATTAATAATATTTAAGCAGATACTTTCCAATACATGAATTGCTTACTAGTTTAGATTAAAATTTGATTCAATTCAAATCTATTGTAATTGGAATTCTGAAAAATGTATGAACGTGACAAATTTAAAATATTTAAACAAAGGCATCTCTGCTTATTTAAATTTTTCTCTTGATTCAATAATTCTTCGTTTTGTCAAGCTACAGCGTAAAACTGCTTCAATTATAATTTGAATTATGAAATAACAAAACAGGAATAGAAACCTTTTGATCCTTTTCAATAGTAAAAAAAAAAGAAAAAAAGAAACATTTTATGCGTCCCACGCATACAAAATATTTAGTATACGTAAACTGCATACACATTTGGATTAATTTCTATTTAAACATTTTATGAATGGAAATTTATCCAATACAAATCTAATGTTACTGCAATTCAGGAAAATGTAGGAATGTGATACATTTAAAGAATTAAAACAAAGACATCTCCAACGATTTCAAATTTTTCTCTTGATTAAACCATTACTTTGTTTTGCCTTCCTACTTTGTTCAAAATTGTTTCAATTCTCACTTGAATTTAATTGTTAATAGTTAAACAATATTTTACAGTAGACTGTCTTATCCAACATGATTTTTTTATGAGCTCCTTGTAAGGACGATTAAAATTCGCGCACTTATCCAACATGAATGAGAATTCATTAATTTTGGATGAGTCAGATTAAATGGGAAATGATTCATGCCAAATTTATAAACTCTTTTATACCATCGTAATAATGTAAAAGGTAAAACTGAATTTTGTTTCTCCTACCACGTATAATCTTGGGTGTTCATATCATCATTAAAGTAAATTTATATCAAAAGGACTTTTCAGTTGGATTACGCCATTGTTTATGTTTTATAAATTGTGTTATGTATTTATAAAATTATGTATGTATTATGTATTTATAAAATTATGTATGTATTATGTATTTATGTTGTTGTTGTTTCTTATCCCACTTGGCTGGCCAAGCCCACGAGCCCATACGTGCTCATGATTGAAGGGGAAGGAAGCAGCTTCTGTTGTGATGGAGCACCCGTAGGTAGAAGCATGACTTTTGCTCCGTGACGCTCTTACAGTCATAGGAGACCGAGACCTACGGCTTAAAGTGGATTCCGAACCACTACAAACATCCATGGCACCGCCGGGATTCGAACCCGAAACCTGTGGCACGGAGCGCAAGAGCGCTAGACACTCGGCCATTCAGGTCCCAAATTTGCCAACGGCACGCGGTGTTCCCAGGTGGTCACCCACCCAAGTACTGACCGCGCCCAATGATGCTTGACTTCGGTGATCTAACGGGAACCGGTATATTCAGCATGGTACGGCCGTTGGCCATTATGTATTTATGTATTTATAAAATTATGTATGTATTACGTATTTATAAAATTGTTTTCATAAAGTAGAGAAATGAATTAAAAGCATTTATACATTACCAGGTAGGTTGCATGATTATCCATATAATGTAATAGACATATGAAATAGAAAAAAGTTCAAGAGGAAAATTATGATGTTTACAAAGTAGGGAATATGTCAATTTTGTCTGGGACGGCGAAAATTAGGCGTTTTATATTAGGAGTGAAAAGCGACCTACAGTATTCCTTACGGAGGAGGATATTAAAACCATCTGACTTATATATGTAACAGTGACTACAAAGCCTGAGCAAGATGATTTAGCTGATTCGGTACCCTGGTGGGTCAACGGACATTTAGAATGAGGTCAAACGCAATCCGCTGTAACGAAAACGTTAGGAGTTTGTCAAAGTGTCAATTCCAGATTTGGAATTGGTTCTGGAAAATGGAAATGTTCGTCGAAGATCGGTGGAAGGTCACAGGTATGGAATAACATAAAATGGTGATAGGTATTTTACAACAGCGAGAGATATCCAGACGAAATCACAATGTGAACACCAATTTCTTGTAATAGAACCTTCAGAGGGCTACTGGTATTAGAGTTTAGACTCAGAGTGTACGAAAGCAACTCGACCATATGGGTTTGCATGCATGCTAACCTATGGTTTTCGTTTCGTTGACACATGAATATCGTACTGTCCGCAAGAGGAGTTACTAAGAAAAAGCAAGAAAAAGTTGGTTGATTTCATTGGAAAAGGTTTGTAAGCAATAAAAATAATGTAAATTGTATATTTAAATGATATTATTTACATATCTTTATTGTTTTATTACAAATATATCATATAGAGTTAATAAAATCTTTATTCGCAATTTCGTGTCAGAGATGAATTGCAAAAAAAATTTAAATTGCATTTTTTGCTGTCTTCTTAAGTTTTCTAAGCCATTGGCATAAAATAACTATCAATGAGAATTGCTACAGATCGTGGATTAAATGCTTCCTATAGTATTTTAAACAATTACTTATTCATGAAGTTCTAGAGTTATTGAATAAAGCTTTGGTATATTCCTTTGGCTATTGAATTGGATAGTTCTTGTGGTATTCTGATCCATTGCTGCATACATTTCTCGAGTTATTGAACAGCGGCCTACTCCCGAGTGTATTAGCCCAGCATCATGCGGTCATACATAATACATTGTAATTCGTGAGCAGATTTCAGTTCGCGCATTATGCTTGTTCAGACTGGAGATGAAGACCCTTAAGAACTCATGGGCTGAAGAACACTCAGCCACCTGTACCTGGACATGATATAGTTCGTAGTTGGGTTAAATGTCAATGAAGTGCTTTTTAAATATTATTTATTTATTTTTTTTAGACTGAGATAAACAAACCCAGTGAAGATAAATGTAATAAAAAGTCTTCTTTTGGTACCTTTCGAAATTCGAATTTTGAATCGTGTTTAAAGACTTCTTTTATCATTATTTTAATTTAAGCTGCATAAAGACACTAGAAGGCATTAAAAAAATAATATATTTTAAGTATACAGGACAAGACTTTTTAAAATTTAATATTAGAAATATACCATACAATATATTTAAAATAAATTCACCCATTAAATATGCATTTTTATTTTTAAAAAATTAAAATTTTATATTATTTTATAACAGAATAAGCCTTGAACGTTATCGTTGAAAAGAGACTTCTTAATTATCGCGGAAAGCTGTTTTTATTATAAAAGTTAAAACGTAATAAAAACTGAGGTATAAAATTTAAATTAAAAACGTTAAGTTCCTAAGCCGGAAAGATTCTGGATTATATAATATTTTAGGAAAACTGGTATACAATATAATATGAACTTTTCTGTTAATTCTCTAATCGATTTTCTAAATAATTTTCTTTGAAGAAAATGACACTGTTAAATTAAGTCATTATTTTTATTAAACAATTGTCGAATTAAGACATTGCTTCAATTAAGAATATCTTTATTGATTTCTATAATTTTACATATATATATTTTCTTACATATATTTCTATAAGCATTTCCTGCATTTTGCAGTTTTTATTTGTTAATAATTTTTTTCTATATCACACTAATTTATTAATCTGGTCTAGATACGTTTTCAAGATTCACTGTAATTTTAACTTTCTTTATTTTTTTCTTCTGTCATTTTAAAATAATTAATACATTTTCAAATCTTAAACAGAGAGAATCAAACTTCGTTTTAATTTTATTGCATTTTTAGGCTTTAAAACTAATTATTTCTTATTTTTATTAAATTATTCTTTAAATTATTCTTATATTTAATAAACCAGCTAAAACATGTTTATTATCACCTGAATTTTTAATAATCTAATAAAACTATCTTTTTTACAAACTTAATGCTTAAAATAATTATTTAAATAATCTTTTTTTTACATTCTTTCAACATTTTTTTCAACTCTAATTTTTTCTTTCTAATGCAGCTGGCAAACACTTATACAGCTGGGTCTTGGATGCCTCAAGGCAAGCGCTGCACAGACGTTACTCACTTTGCATTATCCAGTGGGCGCCTGTAACTTGAAGATAAGCCACGGACGCTGAGTAACAATGTAACCCGAAACCTGTGGTGCCGTGTGCCAGAGCGCTAGCTACTCGGCCATCAGGCCCCTTTTATTATAAGAATAAAGAGGCTATTTTTAAAATATCCTCTTGATGTGTGCAACTTTGGCAACCAAATTTTAACTGGATGTGGTTGGGTTGAAATACTTGTGGCGCGGATTGGAGAACTCACAGCTTTATTTACACACACACAAACACCACATGCATACAATATTTAACACATTTAAAAACATATACTTATAGATAGATTAGTGGAAGGATTCCACTTGTAAGCCGAAAACCCGATACGCAAGTATGCGCAGGGTGCGCGAAATATATTTCCAACAGTAGACCAAAAAATATGAAAGGCTTTGTTAAATATGTTTCTTTTTGGAATGATATGTTATAAACTAAACGTTCCTCAGCGGCAGAGCAGGTTTCACTGTACTTTCTCTAGGGAGAGAGTCTCGAGGCCTACTGACAGTTTTTCCTGAACGCCATAGGGGGAGCCCTTGCCAGTGTGTAAAATGAAGTACAATCACACTCTTTAATTTTACGCAATTTCTGGTTAGGTGCCATATAAATAAACTGGATTTATACCATTATGAATTATATTATAATTAAATTATGTAAATAAATTATCTTTAATTAAATAAACTTTTTAATACTATAAAGGAATTCAAATATATCTAACGTAAATTCGACTTATTATTTATTAATTATTATTTTTTTTTAAATTATTATTTTTAAAAATTAGCAGCTTAACTTCGCCATTACTTACGGCAAAAAGACTTCGTCTTAGTTTTGTTGACAGAAAAAATCTTTATTAGTAAACCATTTTTTTAAGCGTAAGCGGTTCGCTTTTTGAATAGAAAAAAAAGCAACTATTTTTTTTAATATTGATGATGTCGCTTCCAGGAAAAAAGATAAGGCAATCTCATTTATTTTTGTTACGTCACCTGTAAAGGAATATCTTTAATAAAGCGGTTTACTTATAAATACAAGAAAATGCATGCATCTTTAAGGTATAGGATGTTGTGAACAAATCAAATATAAATTTTGGTCAGGAATGTTTGGAGATTTTGAATAAATATATATTTTTTTTCTTCTAATGCAGCTGGCAAACACTTAGACAGCTTGGTCCTGTATGCCTTAAGGCAAGCGCTACACAGACGTTACTCACTTTGCATTACCCGTGTAACTTGAAGATAAACCCCGGACGCGGAGTAACAATGCCCCCGCAACACTCTACGATCCTATTAGGACCGGGACCTACGGTTTAAAGTGGATTCCAAACCACTACAACCACCCATGGCACCACCGGGACTTGAACCCGAAACCTGTGTTACCGAGCGCCACAGCGCTAGCCACTCGGCCATTCAGGCCATTGAATAAATATTATGCTGTTATTTTCAATGCTATGTAAAGAAGGAGATAAGCGACTTAAAAATTGGTTGCGAAATAATTGATTAATGGAACAAGTGAAAATGAGGTTAGTATGTGAATCGCCACAAAATAATATACAAAATAAAAAAAAGTACTGCTAAAAATATAATAAAGGTATTTATAATATAATAATTTCTTAGAATAAATACTGAGTCTATCTATTTGGATTTCAAAGAGTTTGATGATAATGTATACAAGATATTGGAAATTATTACATTCATGAATTTAGTTAAATCGTTAAAAAAAAGAAGGAAGAAAAAGAAGATAGAACAGCATAAAAATAATGTGATAATAATGATAATCACTTCCAGGATAAACGATAAGACAATCTCATTTTTCTATTATGTCAGCTGTAAAAAATTCATTTAATAAAATGGTTTACTCATAAATATAAAAAATGAATTCCTATTTAAAATATAGATGTTGTCAACAATTCAAAGATACATTTTGAGTATAAATGTTTGGAGATTTCGAATTAATATAAGATAATCAAACTAAAACTTTTAATTCAACAAAACTATGTAAAGATGGAATTAAGGAATTCACAAATTGGTTGAGAAATAATCACTACAAAATGTGAACCGCCACCAAATAAGAAATAAGAAGTACTATTCAAATTATAATAAATGGTACTTATATTAAAGAAGAGTTATTACTGAGTTTATCTATTTAGATTTCAAAGGATTTTATGATAAAATTCAAAAGATAGTAGAAAATTATTTCATTCATGAATTCAATCAAATCTTCAAAAATAATGAAGAAGTAATAAAAAAAAGAAATGGAACAGAATAAAATAAAATGAGTCATTTAAGAATCAAAAATGAAAAATTGGAAACTTTAATATCGTAATATAAGATAAAATTAGTCCTAAAACAATTATTCACCAAAAATTATCACATTCACTCTGATTAAGAAAAATTGGAAACTTTAATGTCGTAATATAAGATGAAATTAGTCC